CTAAACTTAACAAAAACAAGTAAAAACGAGAAAAACGGTTATACCTAATTGCTTAAATGAAAATCGATTGAAAGAGAATGAAAATAATGAACTAAATCTTGAAATAAAACGGTGTAAATCTATAGAAAAGAAAGCACTGGGGTTCAGGGAAGTTTTCTCAGGGGTATGAATGATTCAAAACATTGCTAGAGAGTAAATTTGATAAGATCTTAGCTTAAACTTTTCGAACTGGAGTCACGGACATATGAATACGCCACTGTCGTGATCATAGACAACTATCTCTCTTAACCCTGACCAGTAGGTTTCCACTCTGGCCCTGGAAAAGAGGACGTGCATTATGTTTAAAACTCGTCAACATTTACAAATCGCCCATAGGTAGGTTTCCACTCCTATGTTTGTTTTGCTCTCCCAAACTAGATCTGACACCGGATGAACACTTTTGTGTCAACAAGAATCTGGATCAGATTGTAGTTCATGACGCTACTCTCATGCAGTTAAAACGAATTCAGAAGAAAAAGTTCTAAGATTCGGCTCAAAAGCTCATGGAATCCTCATCGAACACATATATCCCCATCAAAAACCCCTTAGACCCAACAATAAAACTACTCAGACATGATGAACGAAATCAATAACATAGTATTAAAAAGTAGTACAGAAACCGAAATTGAAAAAGAAAGAACAAGGGTTCAAGAGATAGATCTCTCTCTCCCTAAAACCTAAAAACAAAGCTTAAAGTAAAATTTCTGTAAAGTATTTCGTCTCTTTTTCTCTCTTCTTAAAAAACGACCTAAATGACATGTATTTATAGTCTCCAATACTCTCTGGTGTCTAGGGTTCCAGAATTGAGGCTGGGAAAATGATACGGACTTCAGAAATGGGCTTTCAAACTCGGAGTTAGCTGGCCGCTGTCGGGAAGTGCGTGACCGCGGGGAATGGATGGCTGGCCGCGGTCGGGATGGCTGTGACTGCGGGGAATGGCCTGTTGGTTGCGGGTGGAAACGCTTGCCGGCTGGTTTACGGGACATCTTGCTCTTCGCGTATCTTTTGATTGAACTGCTGGATTGCCAAGCTGTAAAGTGTGCTGGAAAGCTGATACTTCCATCTTTGAGATCTCCAAATTTGAGCTGGATCAGATGGTGAGAAGGCCTTCAATCGGGGGTGAACTTCTGACGGTTTGACTCTGAGCTGAAATCTGGTCTTCTATCCATTTTGTTAAGCTTATCCCTAAGTTACCTGAAAAGAGTCTTGAAACTACAAATACTAGAAAAATGTGATAAAAGTACTTAAAAGTAATTAAAAACATAGAAAAAGTATTTCAAAACGATCCATAAAAGTTGTCAAAATACGGTGTTATCATCAAACACAAAACCCTTCTCAAATCTCATACTTGGTCAAATTCGTTTCTATTCACAAACTCTTTCTCTCTTTATCTCTCATCACAAACATCTAAATACAAATATTATGGCAGCATCATCAAGCAATGGATTGGATGATGCATTTGATGATGCATTTGATGACATCTTTGATCAAAAGTTTGATGCCATCTTTGATTATATCGTTAATCAACATACATTGAAAGAGAGCGTGAACAAGGCCACTACCGGTTATAGAACGATTATTTCAGTGATGATGCAACTTACCCGTCACATATACTCCGACGCCGTTTTAGAATGAACAAGGATTTGTTCATGCATATTTTTGGCCGACTCTCCAATGAAGTTCCGTACTTTTGCAAAAAAGAAATGCCACCGAAAGATTAGGTCTATCTCCTCTACAAAAATGTACGACAGCAATTCATATGATGCCATATGGTACCGCAGCTGATGCAGTTGACGAATATCTCCGGCTCGGTGCTAGTACAGCATTGTTATGCTTGGAACATTTCACTGAGGGTATAATATCCTTGTTCGGAGATGAGTATCTGAGAAGATCCACACCTGATGATCTTCAACGCTTACTGGACATTGGAGAGCAACGGGGCTTTCCCGGAATGATAGAAAGCATCGATTGTATGCATTGGGAGTGGAATAATTGCCCAACCGCATGGAGAAGACAATATACACGCGGGTCAGGAAAACCGACAATCGTTTTAGAGGCAGTAGCATCACAAGATTTTTGGATATGGCACACATTTTTTGGACCTCCAGGTACATTAAATGATATTAATGTTCTTGATCGTTCACCAGTTTTTGATGACATCTTGCATGGTCGAGCTCCAAAAATGAGATATTGGGTAAACGGTAATGAGTACTGTTTTCCATACTATCTCACAGACGGTATTTATCCGAAATGGACAACATTTATACAATCAATTCATCTTCCTCAATGAGCCAAAAAACGTTATTCACAACATCTCAAGAATCCGTCCGAAAAGATGTGGAGCGGGCTTTTGGCGTTCTGCAAGCTAGATTTGCAATAATAAAAAATCCATCTCTTTTTTGGGATAAAGAAAAAATGGGCAAGATTATGCGGGTCTCTATCATATTACACAATATGATAGTAGAAAAAGAACGACATGGCTACACTATATACAATCTAGAAAAATTCGAACAAGCAGAAGGAACCAGAAATTCGCATGTCGATAGGACGTATTCTACAAATATGCCTACAAATGTCTCAAATTTGATGATGGTGAAACGAAACAAAATCCGTGACAAAGAGATACATGAACGATTGAAAGCGGATTTAATCGAAAATCTCTGGAATAAATTTGGTACTTCTTAAATGTAGAACAAATGTTTTAAGTATTTCTATATTTCAAATATTGTATGTTTTTAATTTTCTTGTAATAAATTGTTTTCTTTTCTATTGTATGTTTTAAAATTATTTGTAATGAATTAATTTTCTTTGATAATAACTGTGTGTTTAAATTAATTTCTTTATAAAAAAAATTACAAAAAAATAATTTAATAATTTTTTATTTGGGATGAACCCCATTGGAAAGAACCATATGCAATGAAGTCAATCCTTGTTCCCGCCAGTGTCCAAATGAACCTCAGCAAAAAAGAATAAAAAAGACCGGTGGTACTTCAGCCGATTGTAAGATAGTTAAGACAAAGACTAGTTTACTACTAAATGCAATAACACAAAAAAAAAGACCGGTTCCTAATCACTACAGATATATGCGAACAGTGCAATAACACAAAAAAAAAGAAAAGCATTGATAAGGTTTCACCTTGAGTACCAATGTGGTCCTTCAAAAACCGCACTTCTCCCTGCAGCCTTGTTAACTCCTCACGGACTTCTTCATGAAGCCTTGCTTGCTCCGAACGGACCTCTCCTATGGCTGGATCAACAGAGTGCATTCTTCCCCGATCAACGCTGAAGATCATTTCATGCTGCTTCTCTATCCTTGTCGCGAGGATTTCACACTGTTCTGTAACTGCATGATCCCACCATTGGTGAATGTGGTCAAATGAGCCCTACAGTCAAAACAAACTTTTAGGTAAGGAACTTCAAACTAATTAACTCACACTAATTAACTCAGACAACTTACCTCATTAATCCATTCCGGGCAAGAATAATACTTCCGTCCGGCTTCATTTTCGTTGAGCTTCACAACCAGGCCACAGAAGCACTTCTCTGGGATGCCATAGGTGGCATCCACGTAAGCCCAATAAGGCACCTCTTCCTCAGACGAACCGCTGCTGTAACTTGGCATACTCTGTCCACAAAACACGATTTTGATCAGTTGAGTTACATACCCTAAAAGCTACAAACATATGTAAACCACGAAAACAATACTTGAAAACGAGACTAACAAGAAACTACTTAACCCTAAACATTCGATTATCATTACAGTTCACATTTCAGTTCACACGAGTTTTGTTCATTTCAATACAAGATCATTACTCCAAAAACCCTAAACCTGCATAGTAAAATACGATAAATCACCAACTGAATTCGTCAACCTCGGTGGCGATTGATAGCATCGTAACAGAAAAGAGCTGAAGCAAGGAGGAAAGCTTTTCAGCAAGTATGCATCGGCGTCTCCATTTTATATCTGACTGAGATAAGAAAGGAGATGACGATGATGGTTAGAAAAATACAAAATATAAATGAAAATGATAAATGAAAAAAACTGTTACAGTTCACACTAGTTCGAATCAAAACCAGAAGCCCGAAATAATCCCCTATTTTTGAAAACCCTAATAACATCGAAACCAAAACTCAGATTGAAATCTTCAAACCATGAAATCGTTTCCGAAATAGTTTAATCACAGGCTAAATTCAATGAATTACACCCCAATTGCAACCCCAAAACAAAGCCCCAAAATTTTTCTCCAATTTTAAAAACCCTAATTTCACCGACTCAATTTTTCCCCAAATCTACAAAATTCGACATGCAAATTCGATTACAGGTATAAAAGAGTAAGTATGAACACCAAATAAACCCTAATTTCATGAAAAACAACCCAGATTTCAACTTTCTTTTTCCACTAAAAAAATCCGAAACCCTAAATACTCGAAATCGAAATGAAAATTACCTAAATCGAAGTCTAGACGCTAACATGGATGATATCGACGGAAGGGCGATGCTTGGATGGCCGGTTCACCAGGATTATTCGCCGGAAAACACCGCTTCGACGAAATCGCCCACACAGTCGCCACAGAAGATATGAGAAAACCCTAAAATTGGGGAAAGAGAGAAAATGAAATTTTTGCCCTTCACATTTTTTTTCCACTCATTATTTCCCTTTTTCACAAAATGACACGTGGCTCGGACACAGGGTCGTTGGGCTCGTCCGGATGAACCAAGTCTTCCATGTTGGACTTATTATCATTTATTTTTAATCTGTTTTGCATATGAACTCGAGCCCAAAATCAGGATGACCCCTTAATGGACCTGCTCTAATGGAACCCAAAACTAACCTAGGTTCTTCCCAAAATTTTTTTTTCATCTGATGAACCCCATAGGGGGTTATGGACATGGTCTTAGATTTTATTATTTTTCTGATTTTCGAGATTAGTCTTGTTGACTACATTTCTGTTTTTCCATTTAGTTTCTTTGTACTTTTAAATGGATCATCAAATTTTTATCAAATAAAAAAACTCTCTCTTCAAAACTGTGTCGAAAATTTCTTTGTCTCTTGAGAGTGATTCATTGCACACAACAGCATCTTTATCATCTCTCATCTATTTCTTATGATTGGTCTGCTGCTGAGACAACACCTTCGCCGATCTATTCTCTACAAGACCAAAAGACTATTCTGCAACTTTTGTGTTCTATCTCTTCAAACCAGCTTCTTTGTGCAAATCATTGGGAAGATCATATCAAATGGTATTAGAGCACACTTAGAAGCTTGGTAGTCTTTATCCTGTCTCATCTATTCATCTTCTTAGATTCGTGTCTGCATCTGTTCATCAACTATTTTTGTTTTTTGTTCTCTGCAGAAAAAGAAAACCAACAAACAAATTGCTTTAAATCTGTTTAGTTTGCATCATAACCCTCTAAATCTAGTTTTGCCACTGCATCACGTTTTTCACCCCCTTGTTTTGTTTTGTCTTTCAACTTCTCTGCATCAGATCTGCTCTCTTGTGTTTGTGTCTAGAATCAAAAACGTGTCTGTTCTTCTTCTATCAATCTATTTTGTAGAATTGAGTCTCTTGTGTGTTCTTTAGTTTGTTCTAGTTCTGTTCTGAGTATTTTGTTTCAGCAAGTCTGTTCATATCCATAAAGCTTGTTGATTTACTTTTTGTGAGGACTTCTTATCCATAAAGCTTGTTGATTTACTTTTTGTGAGGACTTCTTACTGGCTTTGTGTGTGTGATTTCTTTTCTCAGGAGCATAATGACTGAAACGGAGGAAACAAAGGAAACAACAACAGGGAAGACATACTGATGATGGAAGCTATTTATATTGAGTAATTACAAAGACATAAATAGTAACATTTCGGATCTTGTTCTAACTCTACTTGACCATTAGGGGTAAAACCGAACCATCCTTTGAGCTTTGGATTATTGAAAAGAAACAAAGCATACGAATCTATATTCAGCCGCATCGCACATCCCATGTCAACCGATGCAAGAATCCTAATCTCTCCTGGTGCTTAGCCCCAATCAACAACACTTTAAATAGCCATGACAGGTTAATAGAGAGCTTAAGCTTTTGAAACAAGGGTAATGTGAACTTTTCTTTCCTTACACAGATAAGCCACTGGATGCTTCGGACCATGATGCCATTTTCTGTAACAAACATCTTCAAACGAACACTCTATACCTATTGAGACCCGCAATGTGAACACACTAGCCCTCGGGTTCATGTAAGTTACTGCACTAAACATGAACCTCTTCTCTCTCTCATCTCCATTGTAAAGGTTTGGGTCCAAGTACACAAACTGGCAACTTTCATCGCTTCTGGATATTTTGAGCCACATACAGGTATCTCTCGGCACATTAAGTAGCATGATCTCGCACGGTATAGCCACTGGTAGCCCAGCCACAAAGGAAATCGGACTGTAAGGACCATTACCAGGAACCTCGAGCTCTGCACTGACACACTGCAAATTACCAGATAAAATAAACTGTTCGGGAGAGAAACAATTGTATTTCTTGACGAGATCAAACAGTCTATAGCAACTTATCTCTGCATAGCTCCCAATTTCTTGCAATGACTTCTTAGTTTCAGTTAAAAAATCTGATGGTTTGGTGCATTGTTGTTCATGGTGGAGCTGTAATTGAGATACTGTTGAAGATAGTTTCTTCTTGCATCTAAGGCGGCAACATATCTCAGATTTATATAGCCTTAACAAGCAACCAAAAATTACTAACTCCATTACTAGTGACACCTCCGTAGAAAGGCCTGTGAATCTACACCTTATCTCCATCACTTTTATCTCAACTTCTTCTATCAACAGTTCTAGTTCTACAGATTTACACGTTCTGGAGTGTCTTGAGTATTCGAAATGACGCCACACCTGAACGAGAAGTTCAATTACGTGAACATACTGACACATAAATTCTAATGCACCACTGGAGATTGAAAAATTGGCTGTTTGCAATTCCTGTTTGCAAGCCCTTGGCAAAAAGACAAGAAAAACATTTAATTAGAGTACACATGAAACAATAGTAATACAGAGGCTGGAAATGCAACAGATTGTAAGCTGTACTACCTTAACGCTCGAACTGCTTCTTTTGAGCATCCTGATTGTGACAAGAACCAGGCCGCCTTTATTTTTAACAGTATATAATCAACAGACTTCATTGCCTGTTTTCTATTTTCCAGTACTGCTTTGGAAGCCATGTGTTTGCTCTCAGCATGTATATCTTTGCTTGGTATGAGGACGGGATTTCCGCTAAGATCTGCATTGTTGTGCCTATATGCATGAAAAAAATTATCTCCCTTGCTGAATTCTGTCCCCGAAGAAGCAGAAAGAATACTGCAATGAGTCAAGTAAGCCAAAAGCATATCCTGGTCCATCATCTCGTGAAGTGCACATAAGAATTTCCCCAGCATTGCAAGTGAATATGAAAAAGCCAGAGATGGTATGGAAGTCACGCTTAGTTTGTCTGAGAGAGGGACTGAGATTATCAGCATCAGAGACGCTGATACCTGTCGGCTGATTAATCCAGATTTGTTTACAGAAGCTGCCTCTAACTGAAGAGCATAACAGAGTATGCAAAGAAATGATTAGTATGCCTATTATAGTTGACGAGACCTGAAAAGAGTAAAAAAAATGCTCGCTTACCTTCTCAAAAAATTTCTTGATCATACTGACTAAGAAATTTGTGTGGTTTTGTCCGAAATGGAAAAGAGCAGACAGGATATCAGGTTCGTCCTAGTATGGATATGAAGAAAATTGACGTTTCAGAAGAAGAAAAAGAAAGAATTGATGCAATTAGAAGATACTTGATTTGTTTAGGTAAGTATACCAACCTGTGGATATATCTCTAAACTTTTTAGGACACCATCAACACATTTGGTGACCAGCTTCAGATCAGGCAGCTTTGCCAATTTAAGAATGTTTCTAGCCGTAACTCTTATGTTCTCAGAACTATCAACAATAGCATCCAAAAACTGCAAAGTCAAGCAGTAGTTCTTTATCATAACTCATAGCAGAGAAATTGTCAAATAGAACAAAGATGCAATACATGGAGCCAGTGGCATTGATATTAGTTTGGTAGCAAATCCCTTAATGTCTCACTAAGCATTAGGCCCTAGAAGGCAAAAAATTCACTGAAGCTACTTCAGCGGGGTCTAAACCCATAGGAAGTGGTTTGCAAAAAAACCTGGACCTATACCAAATTTATGGAGTATTGCAAGAGAAATATTGCATCTGCATTCATTAGCTTTCTATCTAACCAGCTCTATAGAAAGAAAGAAAAAAAGGCAAAACAATATGGTGACTTACAGCGGGCATATAAGTTTCCTGTATCTTCAAATTCCCCAAGTCAGCTATATGATGCAATGCCTCTAAAGCTTTCAACCTGACAACCATGTAATCATCGTATAGCATATCCATCACTAGGTATACAGCTTCATCTGGGAATTTGATAGAATTTACTGAGAGGGAGTGGAATGAGTCAACCGCAGCTTCTCGTACCTTCAGAATGACGCATGCAAACACCGTATATATAAGTTCCAGAAACAATGAAATAATTTTCTACAAAACCTACTTTAAGAGGTTTGCACAAACAAACGACAAAGGAAATTTATCGTCATAAGAATACCTCGTAGAACTCATCTTCAAAACCATGGATGAAAACTCCAGCTGCAGCAGCGACATCAGCTGATTCAGTCGAAAGACAATTCTGAGGTTTCTTCCCTTTTTCGGCTCCCAATACTTTTTTAGAAAGTGTTTGCAATATAATGCTTTCTGATGCAGCCCCTATTATCCCAAATCCCTTGAAGACCTCTACCCTCACGTCTACACTCATATCTCTCACAATAGAACAAAGCTGAAAACATGTTTATAAGAAAACATCAGGAAATTGGTTAGGGTAGTTCCTAAAGATCACTGAGAAACAATCTGATAAAGTCTTCGCCACAGAAATTGTTGAGTGGCTACTCAGTTTCTCGTATGCAAATACAATAAAAAACTTCAGCCTTTATGCTAAATCAATTTGTAAGAGAGGAGCTAGTTACCTGAAGAAACACACCATCTGTACACTCTCTTCTGTTCATCTCTACCTTGGATGTTATCAACACTTTGCCCCACGTACTGACCTGCATATTCAAACAGTTACCAACCTTAACCAGGTATGTTTGCATTTTTCAGCTAATAACAATATTTTTTCAACTGCAATTTCATCAATCAGGAAAACTTACGGCACGAACTGCAGAAGATCTGACGCTATCTTCATCATCGCCTAGAAGCTCAACAGCACGAGTATAGCAACCTTGTACGGCAGAGGCGTGATCGAAATCACCAGCGTTACATATATAAACCAGTCCATCCAGAGCTACTTTTCTGATATAAGGATACGGATCCTTGGTAAACCCTAAAAACAATGTGAAAAGTACGGACAAAGGGACATTGAACCTCTCCACGTTCCTAAGTAGCCACATTCGATAAGATATAGGTGCTCCGAGGCAGATGGACGCAAATACCTCGCCGTCGATTTTGGAAATCTTGGTGGCAATGCTAGGGTTCATCTCGGATATCGACGCCAGAAGAGCAAGCGATTCCAGGGCGACGCGTCCGTGGCTCGCATTGGTTGTGGAGTTTTGAAGGCGGAGCAAGTTGGAGAGGACCGAGTCAAAGATCTGTTTTGCTAATTCCTTTCTACCAAAGGAAAGGTCGGAGAGTAGCTTGAGGACGTGACGAAGAATTGCCGGGTCGTCTCGGCTGAGAAAACTAGTAAGAAAGTCGAACACTGAGGAAATTACAAAGTCGGGGGTGTCAATATTGATAATGAGTGACCTAATAGAAGCCAGAGTGCGGAGAGAGAGTGATTCAACGGAAATCGAGTCAACTTCCTCCATTGCCATTATTGAATCACTATAACTCAGATTGAGAAAAATTTCGCTCCAACGCCCGCCTAGACAATTAATCAGCCAATTATGTGCTATTGATCGGTGGCAAGCCGCCAGAATTTTAGGCTGACCCATTTTCTTCCACCTAAACACAATTTTAACAAATAAATCGGTACTTTTATTTAACTAAACGTAGACTTATTAAAAAACTGAGGCCCAAAAACAAGCCCAATTAGAGTTGATCGCTCACGTAATTTGCTATGGGCTTACAACTCAGCTGAGGAATAATTTGAACTGGGCTTACAACTCGCGTAATGTGATTAAAGATGAAGACTCTTATTTATAGTGCAGCTTCCCCTTCTAAATTATGTGGGACAAACTAAAGACCTACTTTTTAAAAAAATGTCATGGGTATTGAATATTGATGGGCTTGAGTTAGGCAGAAACTAATGTCATTTCGCCACTAAATCATGAACATATGCTGTTTTTTTTTTTTTTAACAAATCAGATGTTGTGTTTCATTAAACGTAGGCCGTTTAGGATTTTTGTTTTAGAATGAGAGTTATTTCGTTAACACATATTTATTTGAGGAATTATTGGATTCAACTAGAGTTTATCCCATGCGTCAGCAAGAGAAATTTTGTGTTTTAAATATAATTTTATAATGTAATTTACATTTTTAAAAATCTATAATATTTATTAATAAACGATAAAATTTATTTTTGTGTTTAGATAAAATTTATTTTTAAAAAAAAAATTCTAATAAATTTGATCACGATTATAAAAGCATAATTTTAATCCGTCTATTTGATTAATCCAAAAAATGTATGAATATAAAAACATAATTTTACCTTTTCTGTTCATATTATCATACAATATATATTTTTAATTTTAAATATTTAAAATTTTAAAATAATTGTTTATGAAAATTTATATAATAGTGAAAATCTAACAGAGATATTACTGTCGAGATTCTGACCGAAAAATTAGACATTTACCTCGAGTTGGAATTCAGTGGGAGAAATTTGGCTGGTGTCGGTTGGTCCAACCAAGAAAAAAGAGATGGGAATGGACAAAGTAGGAAAAACCCTTTTACACAGAACCGAGGCAGACTACCATCAATAAAAGAGAGCTTCAGTCAACATATACAAAGTCCAGCATAGTTAGATCCATTAAGAGTTGAGCCAGACCCGAATGATCACCGAATATAATAAGGGCTAGAAACGCTTGAGAGAACCATGTCGAAGGAACTCGGCAAAATGACCCCGTAACTTCGGGAGAAGGGGTGCTCTCCTATCTTTTGATTAGGAAAGCGGCACATACCAGGGGGTAGCGACTGTTTGCTCTTACCACATGACACCCAAGAAAGAGTGGTGCAGGCAATATTCTTTTCGGACTAAGCCCACTAGTTAAGATATGCACAGCTGCGGTGAGGAGTGAGAGAGGCCTATTGTTGATTCCGAAAGAAGTCATGAAAGCCCGACCCTACACTTGAATGAAGCAGCCCGGCTTGGAGCCCTAGAGATAGAGAAGGGGCTTCGAGGGTGACTTCCTTCTTGACAATTGAGAGGTTGTCACTGAACATTTCTAGTCACACGGGAAGAGAGGTCCAATGGCAAAATCTGGAAAGCTGCAGAGATGACAAAAAGAGGGGAAAGCACACTCCTAGCCAGGCTAGCGCTAATGGGAGTTCTCGGCGGAAGGCAAGGAATTCTTTCTAGACTGACACGCAAGCTTGCTACGTAAAATACTATAATTGCAGGTTCGCTAGGGGCATTCCACCCAGCATAAGCATCTGGATAATCTGGAATATTCCTCGCGAGCCACTTATTTCTCCGAAACAAGAAAGGCGGCGCAAAGAAGGCTCGAGAGCTTGTTAGATCCCAGAGGCTCGCTCGGAAAGGCTCCAGGAAGAAAGCAAAGCCTTGAGGGAGTGAGCTTAAAAGCGCTGGAAGGGAGAAGAAGCATCTCTGAATGTTTACTTTTTCTCACATTTCTAGTACCAACTAATTCGTTCGGGCGAGACATCTCCCTGATAGTTGGTTCATTAGGAAATCTTTCTAAAAGACGGATGAGCTATACGGCACCTCATAGCTCTATTCATGTTCAAGTCTGTCTACCGGTATGTCAATCGGAAGCTCAAGAAGAGATAGTATCTTCCTCGAGGAACGCCTCTGGTCTTGCAGTTGGGTTTCCCCGCCCAAAGCCTTCTAATGAAAGGGTTTGGTTGTTCGCCGATTCAAGTGGTACGTGAGTTGGGTTTAGAACGTCTCTCTGTTATCTTGCATTCCTCATTCGCATTTAAATCTTTTATTATCATTTATCATCATTTATTATCTTTATCATTATGATAATATTTTTTTAAAATTTGGATATTTAAAAAAAATAACTTAATATTAACAACTGATTTACTATTTTGTAAAAATAATAACAGCTGATTTTTGTAATTTTGATAATTAATCCTAACTATATCTAAGAAAATTTATATTAATTGAATTTAAATTTAAATCTTTTCGAAATTAACTTTAAAAATAAAATTAAAATATATTAAATGAAATTAAAATTTTTATTTGACAACAAAAATAGTAGATATCCAGAAGTAGAATAGTAGAAAACTAAAAAAAACTGTTTGGACACAAATCATGCTTTTGTTTTAATAGAGAAGAAGATATAAAACTGAAAATTTGAAATATTATTTTTATTAAAAATCGTAAAACCAGTTATCCTCCAAAGTCGCGTCCAATTAAAAGTTCAAACTCTAAGACCATCTTTATCGCAAAGACCGCCCGTCTCTTCTCTATTATTTTGTATTAAAAAAATTGGATCCAGGCCCAACTAAACTGAAGACGTCTCTTATTTGGGGACGGCTGGAGACGTCTCCAACTACACGTGGAAGAGTGCTAGTGGACGAAAAAAATTGGAGAGATATGATATTTTCTCTCGGATAATTTTTTTTTGTCGACACGATTCTATCCCGACTCTTCTTCCTCGGTGTATCCGTCGGAGGCGATATCGACCTGATTTTTTCGACGCCGTTTCACCGCGATTCGAGATTCCTCCGGCGGCATCTGGGTCATCTTGCATTGGAGTACCGGTAAGTATTTGGTGTTTTTTTTTGGTAAACAAGTATTTGGTGTTTTTGGTTTGAAGGCTCCTGATTGGATAAAAGTATTTGGTGGTTTATTTTTATTTTTTTGGCTAGAAATTGTTTCCCGACTCTTCTTCTTCGACTCCGTCCAAGACGTAGCTATTGGATCTCAAACGTTGTTAGCTTTTTTATTCAAATTGCAGGCGATATTTGGAGTCTACGATGGTCACGGAGGGTCAAGAGCGGCTGAGTTTGCGACTAAGAACTTGTGTAATAACATTATAAAAGAGATAGTTAGCGAGAGGAACGAGTCATAAGGGTCTCTAGCAATGTTTAGCCCAAAAACACAGTCTCTAATGAATTTCTAAATACAGTCTTTAAACCAAAAATAATATTAAAAAAAGGCCTAAGAGACTTATATGAGTCTTTGGGTTGATGATGCTACTGAAGTACGTGGATCCATTCTAAATGAAAGCCAATAGTCTCTCCCACAATCTTATCCTTACCTTGATCTTTAAATGTTGGAGATTAATTAAAATGTAGTTATGCGAGTAATTAGGATAATGCGGTGGGTATTTAGTGGAACGACTACGATATCAAGAGTTAACAACGTTGTTTTACGGAAAAGATTGAAGATAAATGATGGTGGCTAAACTGATGGTGGTTGATCAGTTAATACACCATGAGTAGGCTCAGGTTCTAACTTCTAAGGGATGTTCCTCGCGAAGAAGATGTAGACTTAAAACACTAGAGTAAATAGACATCCATGTGCAAGGTCTAAGTCATATTATGATGAACGAAGTGACAATAGACACAAGCCTTTGACTGAAAGTTTTAATGTGTATTGATAAACTTATTACTGAAAGAGTGATGATGAGCTTATAGAGGCTCAAACTAACTTGATGGTCTTGTATCTTAATTCTATTTTAAACGTTCAAAAATGCGCAAGCTCTATGTAACTCTATTTTAAGAGGATGATTCTTGATTTACATATTTTGATATCGTACAGTGGGAATTTGTTATAAAGTACTTGTGCATTACTACATGTATGAATTTATTCCCTAAAGATTAAACATAGATGAAATATACCCTCTGGCCATACTTGAAAAGTTTCTTGAACTACACATACGTTTTGATTCTACGGGTTCTAACGTCCAATGACATCAGTGATGGTGACAATGTTGATAGAGGCTTTAAGGTCGTTGTTGTTGACATCGTTCGTTGATATAAAAGCAGGCTGTTTTGGCTCTGGAATGTCTGCGATCTTGCTGCTGAGCATTGAACACACTGTAGCAACACTTGGCCTATCGTTAGCAGCTTCTTGCACACACAAAAGCCCAATGTGAACGCATTTCCGTATTTCTTTTTCAAAGACTTGGTCAAATATCACAGGATCTATCAGACCATTAATCTCCCCTTCGTTCCAGACTGACCATGCCTGTAAAACAAAGAGCCTATTAGAGTTTAAGAATAATCACTAGAGAGAGTCAAGACTCTTAGTAGAAATGGGAGCAACTCACATGAGCTAAAAGAGTCGAATTTGAATTTTTTCTTCCACTGACAATTTCTAAGAGTATAACTCCTAAGCTGAAAACATCAGATTTCTCAGAAAACAGTCCTCCCATTGCATATTCTGGTGACATATAACCGCTGCAAGATACATTGATTTTCTCTGTTTTATCATTATCTTTATGAAAAAGGTGTAACATATGGTTAGAATGGAGTAGCTTACTATGTTCCAACGACCCTTCTGGTGTTTGCTTCATCTTCATTCCCTGGAAAAATTCTGGCCAACCCGAAATCAGATATTTTCGGGATCAGATTCTCATCCAACAAGATGTTGCTAGCTTTTAGATCTCTGTGAATAATTCTCAGCCTAGAATCTCTGTGAAGGTACAAAAGACCTCTACATATCCCTTCCATTATGTTGAACCGAGTCCTCCAGTTAAGAATCTTTTGCTTCAATGGGTCTGAGAAAAAGTTTATTAGCTTTCTCTTCGATCATATAGAGCCAAATGGTAAAAAACAGAGGTGATAAGTTTACCAAATAGATATGCATCCAAGCTTTTCTTTGGCATGTATTCATAGACTAATAACCTTTCTTCATCTTCAATGCAACAGCCAAGTAATTTTACCAAATTTCGATGCTGCAACTTCGATATCACAACCACCTCGTTCACAAGTTCTTCTAGCCCTTGTCCTGATGCCCGTGAGAGCCTCTTGACAGCGATTTCTTGCCCTTCTGGTAACTTCCCCTGAAGAAAAAGATTACCAGTCACTTAATTAGTCTCTGAAGACATCTCCAATGGGGGATTATAAGGGTATCACAAGTGGGTCTTGTTTTATTTTCTGGGTTTAAAAATTAAAAAACGAGCTCAAATCCACTCATTGGGTCATGGGTTTAGGAGAAAATAATTTTTTTTTTCGGATGATCCTCATCCACAAATTCATTGTTGGAGGTGCATTTTAGGAAGAGTATCAATACTGTGCAAAAAAACAAAAATATAATAAAAAATGGCTATGAACCCCACCCATCAGTTTCATTGTTGGAGATACCCTGAGATTATTTTTAACACATATCTATTAATCATAAGGAATCTTTTTAATGTTTTACCTTGTAAACAGGACCAAATCCGCCTTGCCCGAGCTTGTTTCTGAGTGAGAAGTTATCGGTTGATGTAGCTAACACTTGAAACTGAAAAAGTGGTAGCTCTTTGAACTTGGCTTGGTTAGAAGCAGACTCGTTACCACTTGTAAGTGCTTCCATTTTCTTAAACAATAGCTCTGCAGTTCTATCTTTCTTTGGCGCTGCTAAGGCAATGATCAATGAAGTACACAGCTTATGATTCAAGAAACAATCTGAAGGCTGAAGCTATTATAAATGTGTACAACAAAATTTAACCTGGATGTTTTCTTAATTTCCGGCATGCTAAAAGAACGCAGACCACAGCAATAAACGCAACGCCCAATACGGATGCTGCGATAATAATTGTTCGATTCCTATGTGTATCTACAAGATTTGGTGAGAAAACGTAAGGCAATGAAGTCAAAGTTGAATGGGGGAAGAAATCAAGAGAGACCACTAGAGATTTTTACTCACCGAGTTCTGAATGCGCTACCCGAATATAAAGATCAATGCCATTACTCAAATCGGATTGCATATCAACTAAGCTACCACTCCAAATCATGCATCCGATTCCTCGTTCATAAGCATAAGCCGTGCAGGAACAGTTATCTAAACAAACCTTAGGACAGTTGTTCTCATTAGCTAGGGACTGTTCGGCAGAGATTGGTACTTTCATCTTCTGCAGTTTCAGAAACCCATCTTCTTTTCCTCCATCACTTGCATTGCTCTGCCTCTCACACTGCAATGGAGCTCTCCTCACACAATCATTACTCCAGTTCCCTCCATTCCACTCTATGTTATTCTTCGGCACAAAACCTTTAACGCATTTACAAGGCGGAACTTCCCGAGAACTGCAGATCGCGAATGGACCACATCTACCGTATGCATCACAAGTTGTGGATGGAATACTTACACCGATCCTCCAACCTCTCATAGAAGCACTCCAATCTCTTTGATATAAAGCTCCATCAGGATCCAAGTTGAAGTGATACATGAAAGAATCAATCGTATAAGACAATGACAACGTTCCTTGATTATCACTGTTTAGGTTAAACCCATCAAGAAACAGAAGGGAATCCGTATTCGGTAAACCGATGAAAACCTGACCGTTCCAGGGACCGCTACGCCATATTGGGACATTGTTCTTCCAGACGAGAAGCTCAGGAAACGTGAAATCAGCAAGACCAGCTGTATAGTTCCCTGGTGAAGGATCTTGATAGCTTTTCCAAGAAGTAAGCCTTAGATTCTCTCCGGTTCTAGCGTCGGTCCCAAGTTCCATTCTTGGCAAGAGAGAATTGTAAGGATGCTTGAAACTCTCCCACAGAATCTCGCCGTTGTTGCTTTTATCTTGTAACCTAAGATTCCCAGAATTCATTAGCTGAACCCAAGTAACATTTGGAGCCACTGGTATTTTGACGTTTGTGGACCATAGAAGGCGGTTTCGACCATCGTTAACCACGAGATTCCCGTCGTTAGAGATCGAGATAATACCGGAAGTGTCGTTGATAGGAGTGTCTTTGTTAGCAACCCAAACCACAGTTTGAATTGGAATCTTGTCGTACCAGATCCCAACATAACGTAACCGAGTAGTGGAATTTTCTGGAGTGAAAAAGCCAAACCTGAAAACGCCACTTTGACAGAGAAGGGTCTCTGAATCGTTGATCGGAGTTGAGAACGTGATTCTGTCTTCGCCTAAACAGAGTCTCGGAGAGAAGCAAGAGAATCCTGCAAGAAGAAGAAGAACAAGAAATCGACGACGTGTGCTCATTGGAACCAACATAACTGGTTCCAGTTTTTTTTCTTTGTTGTCTTCACTAATTGAAAATAATAATGAAGTGGTCGTCTGTCTATGTGAGAAGACTTAGAAAATGTTTTGTTCAACGAAATAATTATTCTCTGGTTTGACGTGGGAGTGGAATAATGGTGGATTCATTGAGTTGCCCAATCAGTTGAATTTTGAGAGTTGAAGAAACCACCAATCTTGAATTTTCTTGGAAAATTTGGAATGAAACGAAGAAAGTGAAAGGACTAGTTGCGTGATTTTGATAGGGCATTGTTTTTAGGGAGGATTACTGTACTAGCTTTTTTAGTATCTATATTACTTGTTTGGCGCACTTTTATTTTTTTTACAAAACTAATCTAGCATACCCAAAAACATCCTTTTCGCCTTTATTGAAAAAAATCTAATTACGAAAATGCCATTACTTTTTTTTTAATGTCACGTAGGCAGAAAATAGCTCTGAAAATTTGATAAGTCTACCAGGCTTTGACGGTAGACTTATCAAATTTTGGTCAACACAAATTGTCGATAGAGTTATTAGATCGATGGTAGATTTATTCGAGAGTTGGTAGATTTTACAAATGTTGGTACACTTATTTTGGTAGAGTTTTAACAATGAGAGGTAGATTTATTATATTTCGGTCGATTTGTTGTTATGAATGGCAGACTTGTTGAACGCGTTAGTAAACTTGTTAAAGAAAGCGTTGACTTTCTCGCATAGTTGACTTTGTCGGTAGATTTATTAACAATGAGGTAGATTTAATTTCTGAGTTGGTAGACTTATGTCCTTTGGCAGTAGATTTATGTGAAAAAAGTTGTCAATACGTGACGGTAGATATATCCGTTTTATGGTAGAGTTATATCTAGTTGGTAGATTTTTCGCTTTTGTGGTAGATATGTTTGTTTTGTGTTAGATTTAAATTCAAGTAAAATTCCTTCCGGTAAGTGGTAGATTATTTGTTACAAGAGGTAGACTTACAAAATATTGGTAGATTTAATTGTTTGTTTGGTAGAGTTTATATAAGCTGATAGAGTTATTATACGTATGGTAGACTTCTTATAATAATCATGTGGTAGATTAATTAAGTTTGATATTTACAAAGATAACCTCGATCTGGTAGACATATGAGATGTTTATGGTAGATTTGTTTCTATGGTAGAGTTATTTACCATGTTTGAGGTAAACTTAGTTGTTAATGTTAGGCAGACATTTGACTTTTTGGTTCGAAATTACTTTTTTGTCCTAAAAATATTCTCTTATCTACGAAAAAACCAGCGGTTTGGTAGACTTATGTTTGCAATGTTGTATGTCTTTCTAGTTTTGTCCTTATGATAGACTTTTGGTAACAATTATGTTATTGGATTTTATGGTATAGACACCACAAGCAATGATCAAAAATTTCATGCATGAATCTTTTTTCTATGATATAACTTTGTTTTTCATATTAACCTTGAACATATATGTTTTATTAGTTCATTTAAACATTTATCTTATGTCCTTCTTTGTTTTTGTCTGTAATAACTATCTCTTAACTTATGATCTTTTGATTTTTATTTGTGAATATTTTGTTACATTTAACTCTATTCACATAAACCCTTGAACATCACAATGTCAAATGACTTTAGTCATGTGTTTTGGTTAAAATTTCATTCACTTAGGATAGACATCATAGTGAAAGTAAAGAAAATAATTTGAATTGAATAATAACATTACTAGCAAATATGGTAAAAAGATGAAATGTTTGAGTCAATGTTTTATGACAACTATAATTCTAAAACAAAGATATCATCATTTAAAATCTAATTATCATTTGTACATATTCAATATAGACATACCATCAATTCAATAATAAATCTACCATCATTTCAAAACAAATATATCAAATACAAATCTACAATTCATAGTAGAACATGTCGGATGATGTTGGATATCTCATCAGAGACTTGTTCGCCATTGCAAAGCCCATCATCTGTCAGAGAAAAACAAATAAATACCATCATTCGTATATAAAATTTAAATATATGCGACTGATAAATCTACCATAAATAACTAATAAAACTACCAAACACATATTTTTTTCACATCAAATGACTAATAAATCTACCAAACCACATCGTTTTACAAATAAGTCTATCATCAGATGGTTAATAAATCTACCAAACGACATACCATTTTTCAAATAAATCTACCATCAAATAACTAATAATCTAACAAACTACATACCGTTTCTCAAATAAATCTACCATCACACGTTATGAACTTTACAACAAAAAAATACATTAAATCTACCAAACTACTTATCGTTTTCCAAATATATCTACCAAACTTATCTGAAACAAAAAAAAAATTAGGGTTGCGGTTTTACAGAAAAAAACTTATGCCGCCGACAATCTCCGGGACACCACCATTTTTTCGAAACAACATTTGTCCAGTGTGGTTGTGCGCGATGCGGCGAGAACGCCGCTTAAGAGCCGTGCCAATATTTACGAGATCTCTAACACCAATAGTAAAACTCCTCCTCTGCCAAACAGAAAGAAGAAGACGAAGGGAAAGAGGAAGACGAAGAAGAAAAAAGAAAAAATAAGAAAAATGAGGATATATGAGAAAAAAACAAACCTGAACAAGTTTCTGAACGGCGATTGAGGCAAGATCTGTGTGGATCTGCGAAACAAAAGGAAAGCTGTGAAGAGAAAGCTGCGAACAAAGGGAGGCTGCCAAGTTATCGTCGGCAAGCTCTTCACCACCACCGAAATCGCCTCACGACGGTCGTTTTCACGGTCGTAGAATCGCCTCTCCCGCAAAAATTAGGGTTTTTTTTGTTTATCCGAGTTTTGTGTTTTTTTTTTCTGTAAAGTTATATTTATATTTGTTGGATTTTATTGATATTAAAAAATCAAAATTATTTAATTATTAATTATCATAATGGTATTTTCGTAATAATATTCACTATTTGGACAAAATGGTATAAGACCAACTTTATAAGGTTAGTCTAGTAAGGTGATCAATATGTTAGGCTAAGTTTGTCAATACATCAACTTTAAAGGCTAGTCTGAGGAATTTTCACTTGTTTTTAACCTTTAAAAATTAAAAAACTAAACAAATTATTATGAATTATAAAGACAATTCTACAAAGGATAATGTTACCTGCTCCACAACAGCTTCACTTACACTATGCTGTTTTTTTTATAAGTGTGCTTTCATTAATCTGCAGAAATTGCGTTTTCTAAGAATCTAAATCCAGTAATGAAAATTTGGTCAACTATTGTTTTCACCATTTTGAGTAGACTTGTTACTTGTTTCTTCGCAGATTACATAAATAGAAAACATGTATTCTCTTTGTTTCAAAATATAAATTATAGGAAAAAAAAATTAATTTTTTTTGTTTTATTCTTCATAATGTATTATATATACTGTGTTTACACTAATTTATAAGCTATAGAAATAGAGAAAAAATAGGAACGTTATTTCAAGCATTTGCATTAGAAACTGTAAACAACTTATATTTTAAAACAAAATATAAATCATAAAACAATTTTATTTTGAAACAGAAAGAATATATTACTTTTTGACGTTATTGTCACACTCTTAATCTTGATTATACAAAAGAAAAACGTGTTTCAGAAACGACACCAGATTTGTATCATTACGTATTCTAAAGCAAGTAAAATAAATCCAAAACTAAAGCAAAATACTAAATAATCAAGATCAATACACATTACCACGTTCTACTGAGAAGATGAACACCGAAAGCATCAAAAATGAAATTGAGCAATAAGAGACAAACCATTGTAGGAGCCAATTCCTGACGCTGTGATTCAATTGTGTTACATTACTTTATACAACCGTGATGAGACTATTATGCAACACCCATAATAGAATCTACGAACTAAAATAATATTACGTTATATCTTTCGAGACACTTACGATATTAAGACGAGAGGGATTTGCTGGAAAGAATTATTTGCTGTGTGTTTGGTGTATTCGAGAATTCGATCATTTAGAATGAGAGTAGAGGGCGTCTATTTATACTGGAAGGTTCACCTTGATCCGCAAAAAATAAGCTTTGGCGAAAAAGAATATTCACGAGATATTCTCCTTTTTCCGTAAGTAAAAGGATTCGAAAATCTTCCGTTATTATCTGGACGCAATCTTTTATTTCCTAAGATTTATCCTTTCAATATGCAAAAATTATTTCGCAGGAATTAAGAAGCCCACGACCCACGCCAAGCTATATAGAGCACAAGAGCCCTAAGAGCCAACTAAAAAATGCAACGAGCACGAACCCAAGCCCAGCCCGGCACCGGCACTGGTACTGACACCGGCGATGGCGATGGCGTGCGTAAATGTTTTTGCATAATACCCTTTTACTCCCACAATGTTGTTGACCCTTATTGTGAGAAGGCCATATATATACAAGAGGGTTCTCTTCTTGCTAAACAATGTGGGATAAGTGCACTTCCACTTTTAGTTATAGCCAATAGGAACATTTCATTTCCATAGACTCAAACCCAAATCTCAAATAAATTTATAAGGTCTATTTGCTTATTAAACTTCATTTTTTATTCACACACAAACTCAATATTACAAGTCCAAATGTTTATTAATATTGGGTTTCAACAATCCCCCACATGAATAGAAATGACTCTATACATATGCAGACTCGATAGACTATGCAGACTAGACTCAAACTAGACTACAAACTCGACAGACGGACTTTTCGAGAGTATAAGCGAAAACTAACTGCGTCTGAGGAAGTAGCATTTTCCAGCCTTGAACCACTCATTGTTAATATCTGTCGGATTTACTCTCCAGAAAGTGAACATGATGTATTGAACTGCCCGGATTTTGGTGTAAACCAAGTCAACAGATATAACCCAGCTTCGTCTTCTCGTAGCGTTCAGCTCTCTATTGTGTTCATTGTGGCCTTGAACGTGTCTGGTTTATTATGAGTGAGCTTGGAGAGTATAGCCTTGTCTTTGTTCTCCTAGAAACGACCTCATTACACACTCACTAAGTGATTGCTAAGTACCTGTCACATACACAGAAAGTTTCCTGTTATACTCTATATACATGTATATGAAGTCTATGGTCTTATCTCATTAAAATCCATAAAGCTTAATCTTACATAATTA